CCCCCTACCCCCCCTCCTTCTCATCCACCTAACTTTCTTCCCACTTCCCTAACCATGTATTCGTCTTGTGTTTCCTTTCATCTTTATCTGCTCACAGATCGCCGGGATCTGTGAGCAACTTACACAACTTACACTGAGTTAGACCGGCGTAAATAATCCAAAATTCTTTGCATTATAACTAGTGTGCTGTGTAAAATAAACGATAAAATAATAAATTTGTAAAAATATTTTTTATCAAAGTTAAATTGGTTAAAATAAAATATAATAACTAAAAAAAATTTTAAGAATACCAAATAATATAACAATATATGTATAACAATTAACTCTAACTCTTGGTCTAGTATGCAGTTACTTCAACTAAGGCGGAACTTGTTCAGCACCACGATGTCTGTACTAACGGGACACTGCGAAATAGGAAAGCATGCTATGTAACTCTACAATGTAGTCTACTCTACAATGACTTTTGTTAAGACTGTGGCTGTAAACATGAGGAGGAGACCGTGTTTCATCTCATGTGTGAGTGCCCTTTTTTAGCTAGAAGAAGGTTGAAAATCTTCGGGGCCCCTTTTCTCACCGAACTGATTGAGCTGTCATTATGTAATATTAAGAACCTGACCAAATTTATTGAACTGTCAGGTTGGTTTTCCTTTACCTAATGGTGGTGTAACATACGTACCTATGATATTTCTGTGGTACCACAATAGGCAATTATTTGAGCTCAAGTAGGCTGTTTGGAAACAAAGCAATTAAAGTATTTAAAAATTTATTGCATATTAAATTAAATTACATTAAATTTTCTATTTTTTGTTTTTTCATCTATTATATGTTAATTTGAGGCTGCTAAGCTCATATCGGCAACTCGAGAGGAAATATCAAAAATTTTTATATATGTTTTTTTTTTTTGGAAATGAGTAGCTCTAAAAGGATTTCATTGCCGTGTGGCTTCAACTATTTTAAGATTGTCTTTTGAATTAAAACTATAGTTTTCTCGGTTTTCAGTTTTGTTTATACAGAGTGATTTAAAGAAATATTTAAAAAATTGCACATTTGGAGCCGGAAAGAGGTTTTTTGGAGAGGAACGTCTAACGCAGAAATGTTTATTTATTTAGCCGTAGCAAGTTTGCTGAAAACACAAATTTCAAATCTCATTGTAGGCTTCAAATTAGCTTAAAATGGTTGAAAAATTAAAAAAATACTATTAAAGACCTGATGTATGTAGAAGAGTGTTATTTATTAATTTTTTTTTATAATTTATACATTAAACCAATAAAAATAAAACTTTACTCGATTAGAAGTTTAAACCTGACCCATAAGATAGATTTTCTACTTAATTGAATTACTTAAAAAAATTGAAGGAACAAAGTTTATTCTGTTGTGGAGATAATTTTAATCTTCGACTTAATATTTTTAGTAATTGAGGATGATTTATATTTTTTTCGTTATTTTCGACTTATAAGAAAAAATCTAATCTAAATATGAATATTATTTATATGTTTGAATATTTATTTAATAGATTTTATATTATATAAAAAGAATTACTATCAAAATTTAAAATTGGAAATTTGATTTTACATGAAACTATTTAATATATATTTTATTTCTTTGATTTGTGTTTTGAAACAATATTTATTTGCATATATTATAAAACTACTGGTTGACCATATGGACTACACCGTTCACGCTTAAATAATAGTCAAAATCATAGATTTCACATATTGAAGATTTACATGGCTAATTGAAAAATTAAATTCTTGGAATTATTTTGAATTTTTTTTATTAATATTTTATATGAATTAATTTTATTCACAATTTTTAAGGCTGAGTTCAATCGATATTAATTTGAGTCTTTCAGTTAAACGCAACTGGTTGTGGTGCTTTGATTTCCAAGAACTCTCAACGCTTGTCTACGAAACTGAAAATCGTGACTTGTTCTTTAGCGGCTGCTGAGAAAACTTATGATATATGCAAAAGTTTAATGTACTTAGTATGAATGAAGCATCTGAAGTAAAATTATGTTTAATATTAAATTTCTTTATCTTTTAGTTTTTGAATGAATGCAATGATAAAATGCTTCATTTACTTTGGCAACACATCGACACATCTTGGTTTCACCAATTTTAGTGCTTTGTTAGTAAAATGAATTATCTAGTTTGATTTTATGTCCACTGCTACATATGGATGCATCTCTGAAGTACTTTCAGTACAACTGATCACAAGAATATAAAAAACTGCAATATTAAGAAATAGTGACGAATAAGATCATACCTTAAATACATTTATTCAATTAGAATTCAACAAACATTTTTGAACCAATGCAGAGAATTTGGATCTATAAAATATTTTTAGCAGTGTACATACACTGACAAGACTTAACTAAAGAGAAGAGTCTTTTCAAATTAGTCCAGTGGTTTAAACTCCGAAACAAAATTCACTTGATGGTGTACAGAATTATAATGACATAATAAATATTTGCTTTAAATGTAGCTGATTTATTACTCAAATACTTTATATTAGCAATTCGAATGCACATGTGAGTTAAAATTTCGTATTTAGATATCAAAATCCACTGACAAAACATATAAAAAAAAAGAGAATAACTTTTTTGAAAAATTTGAAAGAACAACCGACAAGCACAAGGAGACCCGACTGATATTTATCACACATATTATTCGTAGCAAATGCTCCATCATAGTCTAGGTCCAATGTCAACTTTTCCTAGAATTCGTAGTGTTTAATTTCCTAGGAACAATATTAAAACAATATTAAAACAATTTTAATTGCTTAATATTTTTTTCTAATATTATGGGGTATGAAATTTTGTTTATTAGCTTAAATTAGCATTTGACAAATGAACTAATCACCAATAAATTTGTCTTTCTATGTTATTACAAAATTAATTATAGCGTTTGAGACACGACCGTTTCGAGATGTGCTGAAGCGCCGAAAGAACTTAAAAACCAGTTGCGTATGTTAATACTTTCCAGCCAAAACTAAAGGCAGAGTGGAACAAGAAGCACACTACGAGATTTTCAAGATTTTATACTATCGATGTAGTATCTTGAAATCATATTATTTAACATGCGAATGGATGCCAAATTGTGGGAAAAGCAACAACACCTCATCCTAATATAGCGCCTCCACAAGAGCTGAGATTCAATTAGAATTTAAATACGTGTGTCATCAATAACCAAACCGTTCCTACTGAAGCTGTTTAGAAAATCACAAAACTAAGCACACAGAGTGGGGAATTATAAAAACAAACACTTTCAAGTGACTTAAAACTGATTTCTATAAAAGCCCGCGCAGGTTCATTTTAACATCTAAATAAGTGATAAACATGAGAGGGATAACATTAATAGCATTGTTTTCGGTTGGCATTACCTTCTGCAATGGTAAGTTCCTAAAAGAATTATGTACTTCAAATTACTTTAAATAATGCTTATTTAATACAGCATACGGTATTGGCCTGGGTGGTGGTGGTTTCGGTCTCGGTCTGGGAGGACACACAGGTTCAAATGGCGCAGCTGAATCTGGTTCCGGTGGTTTAATAGGTTCATTATCAGGTCAAATAGGAGGCTTAAGTGGTAGTATTGGATCTGGTCATGGGTCAGGTTACAGCAAGGGGTCTTCTGGTATTGCTGCTGGAATTGGAACAGGTTATGGTTCTACATCCGCTGGTTCATCAGGTTCATTATCTGGTCATATTGGTGGCTTAAGTGGAAGTATTGGCGCTGATCACGGATCCGGTAATGGTAAAGGCTCTGCTGGTATTGGTGCTGGAATTGGAGCAGGTCATGGTTTAACCTCTGGTAGTTCATCAGGTTCATTATCTGGTAATATCGGAGGCTTAAGTGGTAGCATTGGATCTGGTCATGGTTCAGGTTACGGCAAAGGCACTGCCAGTGTTGGTGCTGGAATTGGAGCAGGTCATGGTTCAGCCTCTGGTGGTTCATCAGGATCATTAACTGGTCATATTGGTGGCTTAAGTGGAAGTATTGGCGCTGATCACGGATCCGGCAATGGTAAAGGCTCTGCTGGTATTGGTGCTGGAATTGGAGCAGGTCATGGTTCAGCCTCTAGCGGTTCATCAGGTTCATTATCTGGTAATATCGGAGGCTTAAGTGGAAGCATTGGATCTGGTCATGGCTCTGGTAATGGCAAAGGCACTGCTGGTATTGGTGCTGGAAATGGAGCAGGTCATGGTTCAGCCTCTGGTGGTTCATCAGGTTCATTATCTGGTCATATCGGAGGCTTAAGTGGAAGTATTGGATCTGGTCATAGTTCAGGTTACGGCAAAGGCACTGCCAGTGTTGGTGCTGGAATTGGAGCAGGTCACGGTTCATCCTCTGGTGGTTCATCAGGTTCATTGTCTGGTCATATTGGTGGCTTAAGTGGAAGTATTGGTGCTGATCACGGATCTGGTAATGGTAAAGGCTCTGCTGGTATTGGTGCTGGAATTGGAGCAGGTCATGGTTCCGGATCCGCTGGTTCATCAGGTTCATTATCTGGTCATATTGGTGGCTTAAGTGGAAGTATTGGTGCTGATCATGGATCCGGTATTGGCAAAGGCTCTACTGGTATTGGTGCTGGAATTGGAGCAGGTCATGGTTCAGCCTCTAGCGGTTCATCAGGTTCATTATCTGGTAATATCGGAGGCTTAAGTGGAAGCATTGGCGCTAATAATGGCTCTGGTAATGGTAAAGGCACTCCTGGTATTGGTGCTGGAATTGGAGCAGGTCATGGTTCAGCCTCTGGTGGTTCATCAGGATCATTAACTGGTCATATTGGTGGCTTAAGTGGAAGTATTGGCGCTAATCATGGCTCTGGTAATGGTAAAGGCTCTGCAGGTATTGGTGCTGGAATTGGAGAAGGTCATGGTTCAGCCTCTAGTGGTTCATCAGGTTCATTATCAGGTCATATTGGTGGCTTAAGTGGAAGTATTGGCGCTAATCATGGCTCTGGTAATGGCAAAGGCACTGCTGGAATTGGTGCTGGTATTGGAGCAGGTCATGGTTCAGCCTCTAGTGGTTCATCAGGTTCATTATCTGGTAATATCGGAGGCTTAAGTGGAAGTATTGGATCTGGTCATGGGTCAGGTTACGGCAAAGGCACTGCCAGTGTTGGTGCTGAAAATGGAGCAGGTCATGGTTCAGCCTCTGGTAGTTCATCAGGATCATTATCTGGTCATATTGGTGGCTTAAGTGGAAGTATTGGCGCTGATCACGGATCCGGTAATGGTAAAGGTTCTGCTGGTATTGGTGCTGGAATTGGAGCAGGTCATGGTTCAGCCTCTGGTGGTTCATCAGGTTCATTATCTGGCAATATCGGAGGCTTAAGTGGAAGTATTGGCGCTAATCATGGTTCTGGTAATGGTAAAGGCTCTGCTGGTATTGGTGCTGGAATTGGAGCAGGTCATGGTTCAGGCTCTGGTGGTTCATCAGGTTCATTATCTGGTCATATTGGTGGCTTAAGTGGAAGTATTGGCGCTAATCATGGCTCTGATAATGGTAAAGGCACTGCTGGTATTGGTGCTGGAATTGGAGCAGGTCATGGTTCAGCCTCTGGTGGTTCATCAGGTTCATTATCTGGTAATATTGGTGGCTTAAGTGGAAGTATTGGCGCTAATCATGGATCCGGTAATGGTAAAGGCTCTGCTGGTATTGGTGCTGGAATTGGAGCAGGTCATGGTTCTGGATCAGCTGGTTCATCAGGTTCATTATCTGGTAATATCGGAGGCTTAAGTGGAAGTATTGGTGCTGATCATGGATCCGGTAATGGCAAAGGTTCTACTGGTATTGGTGCTGGAATTGAAGCAGGTCATGGTTCAGCCTCTAGTGGTTCATCAGGTTCATTATCTGGTAATATCGGAGGCTTAAGTGGAAGTATTGGATCTGGTCATGGTTCAGGTTACGGCAAAGGCACTGCCAGTGTTGGTGCTGGAATTGGAGCAGGTCATGGTTCAGCCTCTGGTGGTTTATCAGGATCATTATCTGGTCATATTGGTGGCTTAAGTGGAGGTGTTGGCGCTGATCACGGATCCGGTAATGGTAAAGGCTCTGCTGGTATTGGTGGTGGAATTGGAGCAGGTCATGGTTCAGCCTCTAGTGGTTCATCAGGTTTATTATCTGGCAATATCGGAGGCATAAGTGGAAGTATTGGATCTGGTCATGGTTCAGGTTACGGCAAAGGCACTGCCAGTGTTGGTGCTGGAATTGGAGCAGGGCATGGTTCAGCCTCTGGCGGTTCATCAGGATCATTATCCGGTAATATTGGTGGCTTAAGTGGAAGCATTGGATCCGGTCATGGTTCTGGTAATGGTAAAGGCTCTGCTGGTATTGGTGCTGGAATTGGAGCAGGTCATGGTTCTGTATCCGCTGGTTCATCAGGTTTATTATCTGGTAATATTGGTGGCTTAAGTGGAAGCATTGGATCCGGTCATGGTTCAGGTTACGGCAAAGGCACTGCCAGTGTTGGTGCTGGAATTGGAGCAGGTCATGGTTCAACCTCTAGTGGTTCATCAGGTTCATTATCTGGTCATATTGGTGGCTTAAGTGGAAGTATTGGTGCTGATCATGGATCCGGTAATGATAAAGGTTCTGCCAGTGTTGGTGCTGGAATTGGAGCAGGTCATGGTTCAGCCTCTAGTGGTTCATCAGGTTCATTATCTGGTAATATCGGAGGCTTAAGTGGAAGTATTGGTGCTGATCATGGATCGGGTAATGGCAAAGGCTCTGCTGGTATTGGTGCTGGAATTGGAGGTGGTTATGGATCATCTTCAGTAGGCTCTTCAGGTTTGTTGTCTGGTCATGTTGGAGGCTTAAGTGGAAGTAGTGGTTCTGGTTATGGTTCTTCTTATCTTGGTAGCGGAAGTAAAGCTACTTCATCGGGTTATCATTCTGGTGGCTTGAGCGGTAGTTTTGGAGGACTTGGGGGACATATTGGAGGCTCCTCTGGATTGGGATTGTTTGGCTGAAGAAATTGCTTATGGCATATCGGACTTACCCTAGTTAGGAACTAACAGCTAAATAACTTGTAATAATTTTGTGATACATGATTAATATATCTTTTTTACTTAAATTGTTTGTATATATTTTGTCTCTGCTTACTTTTTCTTCTATTTTTTTGCTTTTTGTTTTATTTGCTGTTGTGTTTTAACTTCACATGTTTGGACTTACCATATATCAAAGTAAGTCTACGTTTTGGGGCTCATTTTCTCATATAATCAAATTCTATTTTATTGGATTATATTTTTGAGACTTACGATTGAAAATAGTAGTTTCGTTGGTTATGCAGCTATGGGAAGCGCATCAGTGATGAGACATTGCTGAAGGAACGTTTATATATTTTCGTATTATATATATTACATTTGGATCTTAGCATATTTTATTCAAATCTCTTGCACAGAATTATCAATTTGATCGTTCCGGAAATAAACGGAACGTTTCAGAAATAAATTTTGATTAAAACTTTAGATTTGAAAATATTGTTGCATAATGGCAGTAAATGTGAAATTAAACATTATTTAAATATTATACAGAGAATATTCCAAAATACTAGATTATACACAGATAATTTTTGATGACATATCGGCACATAGTTGGCAATATCGTGGTTCGGCCATTACTTGATGGATACGCGTTTGCATACAAACATGTTGTTCTGCGCAATCGATCGATGTTTTTGGTGACTAAGCCGAAAAAGATTGCTTATCGTACTGATTTAACAAACATAGAAATTAAAATTGGCTGTTTGTGTCACGCTTTTGTCATTTTCAAAGAAGTGATCAAAGGTCTTTTACACCAGACTGTATGCCATCCTTGCAATAATACTTTGTGCTTGAAATAGTCTTTCTCCAGTTACTTCTAGATTTTCACTGTCCCAGATACCGAATGTAACAGTTTTGTTTGTTAATATATTTACCAAACCAAATAGTACTGCATTATTTTAGTAACATAAATAGTTTCACGATTTTGGAATTGGCATTCCTTCTAGGCCAGAAGGTTTGTCGTTTTCACACATTGCAAAATTGCAAATAATTCATAAGCTTTTCACGATTTTCTATTGTTTCTATTTTTGATGAATAGTACTTATCATCAGAACTCGATCCAGATAAAAGATCTCAAACATATCTTCACACTATTGCAGAAAACAATCTTGGGTGGTCTGTGAACTTCGACTGATCTTGTAGAACTTCGATGTTGGGAAAGAATTCTTTACAGTCTATATTCCTGCGAACGCTTAAGATAACTAAAAACTAATTACAAACTGATATAACTGACACATGTACAATAAGTATGATACCTTGTACATGTGAAGTACATTTGCAATAAAATTTCTTCCAATCGAATATAATATCAGAATAATCGATATTAATGATGTTGGTAAAATTTTAATGACTAATGATTTTTAGCTTTAGTTACTTATAAGTGACATTGGTTAGTGGCTATATCCAACAGAATTGTTAAGACTACTTATAATTTTTTTCTTCTTTGATCTATAACTACAAACCTTCTAAGCTTCAAGGATATGTTCAAGGAGTGGATTACTTACTGTAGACTGACACACTGATTACTCTAGATGTATCTTTTATGTTATATGTTATTTTACCTCAATATATTCTAGTAGTATTCCTTATATTCGAACACATGCCTTATACACAGTATGTACCTATAAATTTGCTAAATATGTGTCTGTTGTTATCACTTATCAGTATTATTTTTGTATATAGCTTGTTTGATATTAATACATAGAGGATACGATAATTTTGAATTCTATAAACTCATATTGTCCATTCGGAAACATAACAGTTGTTTATTTTTCCAACAGTAAGTCCAATTAAATTACATTGAAATTATATATTATATAATATATATTATGTTGAAATCAAACACGATGAATAGATAGAGTTATATATGAGTTCGATCATATATATATATATATCAGTAAATTAATTTATTTGCTTTCTATTATAATTATGAAAAGTTACCCAAACTTTACAGATTTTTATTGATTATAATAAGTAATATATGTAATATAAGTATATAAGTAGAGTCGGAATATTTTACCTATCATTATACACCTCCTTGGGCTCACTACTTGTTTCATTAGGGACCTCAACTTAGATATATTATCGTTGTTCTCTTAATATATATATGTTATAAAAAATATTATAGGATTTCTATAAAATAAAGATGAACTTAAGATTTTTATTTATTTAGCTGCTTATCGTTCTATGATTATAGTATAGTATATATCTTATATCGGTCTACAGTAGTTTTGATTTTATCTATAATACTTGATTTTAATACAAGTTTGATAATCTTTCCTTATGAATCTCCAACAAATTATGTTATGTATAGTTCATAATCAAAATATTTTGTATCATATGTCGAGGTTCTGATCTGTAACTCATAGATGTCAATTATAAGTTTTCTACTTGCACTTTTTTCCAGATTTTAAACAATAACTCCATGCTTTGAAATATTAAGTTTCTTCTTCTTTCGAAGAGCGTAGTAAGAGGTACTTAATATAATTAGTTTAACTATGAAGTAGCATTAGGTTATCAATGTCTGTGTTAACATAGCGTACCATGAATGATTAAGTTAAATTAAAAAAGCCATAACCAAATAGAATTAGATAAAAACAGTTGAGGGAGAATATAAATAATTCCAAGAATGCAGTAAAGTCTTTAGGAACTATTTCGAGTACATTTTGTAGATATCTTGCCGAGGCACGTTTGTTGTTGTGTTGTTGTTGTTGGCTTTGTTTCAATAACAGCAAGAAAAAAATCATGTTGCTTGGTAATGCTCCATGCTGGTAACATGAAGCAGTGTCAAAGTTCGTTTTTACTGGATAGTTTTCCTTTAATTTATGATGTAGTGAACATGTAAGACTATCAACTGCAATGAAGGCCGTAATAGAGCATCAGCAACACAGACAATCGTATGAAACAAATATTTGCAGGATACTTACGAAAGAAATTGTGAACTGGAAATGGGAGTTTGATCCTTGGTTTTTGTTGGAAACTTGCAACTTTTAGCGGAAGCTATTGTGATTGTGGTCACTTCAATGGTGTGATGTGTTTGCATGACTGTTTTGAGAATTGGAAGTTGGTATGTGTTACCCTATATTTGTCAAACTTGCACGTACTTTAGATATTGTGTTTGTTGCCAGTGCTTATTCTTGCCATAGCAATTCGGCCCATATTTGTACTTTAAATAAAAGTTGTTCCTTTTCGGCGCTACAATTTAGAAAAACAATTTCGTTTCATGATGTTTGTAACTTATTTATGCAGTAATAAAAGTAATAATATCGGAATGGAGAGATGAAAAGTAATATTATATATTCTGTAATATTATTTATACTTGGCTCACTTTTCTGCTGAAATTTTTGCTAATGAAAAATGCGATTTTTACTTCTGCACAGCCGTACAATCGATCATATTTTTTGCTTATGTGCTCTATTTGTATAATAATCCTTGCAGTAATAAATTCGACCCATTGTCCTGTAGCCTTTTTCCTCATGTGCACACACACACACAACAGAAAAGGAAAACTTTTATTTAACTTTTCACATACGCGCGCATTATTCCTGGCCCCGTACTTCCTGTGTTCTCTTCGATGCAGTCCTTGAGAATACTGGAATGTGCAACTTCTGACATTTGAAATATTGTTATTGTTTTAAGTTTTGTTTGTTATAGTAGAATATTTTTTTTTTCATTGTAGTTTGTGATTTTTTAATTTTGGTTTTGTATTGTTTTCAGTTGTGTAATATTTTAGTTGGTGACTTGTAGCGTTGCAGATACTCGTTTCACTTGAAATCGTGCTGTACGTGTTTCTAAAATTGATGAATGGCTGCAACATCATTTGTTTCCCGATTTTACATTTGCACAGAATTTGAACATAAAATTCAGGTAAAAACATACAAAACCTATTGCAGTTGACACTTTGTAGTTCCCATTTTTATTTAAAAACTTACGACTGATAAGAAAAAGTGCTGGATAGTAGATTCACTAGTGTTTTGATGAATTATTTACGAATTGTATTTATTATCACTAACAAAAACTGCAATAACAATTGCTATAGGAAACAAATTTGCTATAAGAAAATTCAGAAAGTAATGCTAAATTATTCATTAAATTAGGAAAGGAAGCAAATGCTCAGTCTCTCTAATCAAAACTGCTCAAATTGTATTATTGTTAATTTCCTTACATTGTTACATCTAAAACTGGTGCGGATGTATTCATTTTCTAGTTGGTTAATAAGGAAAAATTGACAGGCTATCCTACTTACCACTATCTAATCTTAGAGTAATCACTCTCCGCACGGGGAGGTACGCAGATCTTAGATCAATCACTGAATAATCATGAAGTTTATAAGGAATACATAAATTAGTCAATATGATGGGTGGGACCCTGTAGTATCCCTAGCTATCAAAGAGTAAAAGTGCCCAGTTGCGCTGACTCGAAAAAAGAATCAACATATTGGGAAAAAAAAAATATTTCGAAATAATTACTCGATTTGAGTACAATAAACGTAATCCAAAATAAAGTTGAAATTTTATAAACGTTTCTTACCCTAAGCCACACACATATTCTGTGTACTGGAAACATTCAATGGTGTTATAAGGACCTGTTAACAAAACGGGTGTTGTAAGAAATTATTATACATAGAAAAAATCTTACACAACTGTCTTACTATAGGACAGGTGTAATATAAAATTTTAGCGGCAAAATTTTAATAAAATAATAATAATAAATCAATCAACAAAACGCGTTATCAAGTTTACAAAAATTCTAACAATAATAAAAAAATAATAAAAAAATTATTAAAAATCTACACTTAAACAATAACAATAATTAGAATAATAATAAAAACAATAAAAAAATTTACTACTGCAAAGTAGTAAAAAAATTGACGTATAATTACACTAACAAAACAATAGTGTATATTACACTTCTTCGGTATGAAAGCCGCGTCAAAAATTCACATCTCTACTTTTGGCAACTCTTTACAAGGGTGATAGAAATTTAAATCTCTATCACAAATCCTTCGTCCACGGCTAAAGAAATCCACATT